CACTTGCTCTAATTAACATTCAGTCTTTTTGGGATCTCATCCAGTCTTATATTTTAAATTCCATATAGTCACAGTTAAGTCTTCCAAATACATTTCTTAAGCCAAGCTCTCCCTTGTAAATTCCAATTCATACATCCAATACAACCCTTAGCATTGCTCTTAAGACTGTCTTACAGACATCCTCAGTGTAGTATATCCTAAACTAAAATTCTAGTCTGCCTCATAGACAGACTGGCTTTACCTCCAGTTTTCAGTTTGTGGCAATTTCATCCTCTGCCCAATGGTCTCCCTAAATTTCGCCCGCTCTTCTACTCAAAACCACACTAAGATTTCACGTTTCCAGGAATCAAAGCAAAATGCATAGAAGACACTATCTGATATATTCCTTATCACCTGCCTGAGAGTACTTTCTAGATCTCTATCCTTTTTCCATCACACCAATTCTCTTGATACGTCTGGAATGGTCAACTTCATCAGCAAAGGTTATCCTTATCCATTCTGAACAAGCAAAGACATTTTTCAGCTTCTGAAACCATATGTTCTCTAGTGTCTCTAGTTATGTTCGTCTTTCCTTTGCAATGAAAATTGGTGTAAATAAAATAAATTTAGCAAATAGAAAAACCCGTATCTAGATGCATCAAAATACTTTTTTCATACCAAGTCTTGGACTAGAATAATTTCCAGTGACAAAATATTACCTCAAAGCCTTGTCAACTTGCTTTTTATTGCTTTGCCCTACATGAAGTAACTCTAGTGAATTATAAGCAAAGCTGTGAAAGTTTTGGAAGATGAAGTGTCATGGACAAGTTATTATTTCTACGTTTATTAGGAACTTTTAGAATGTGTAGGCCCTTTTAAATTGCTTTAGAGGCATTGTTTAGTATTAATTTCAAGCTTATTACAAAACTATTCCTTCGTGAAAATGGGAAGAAAAAGCCTCAGACTTCTCACAAAAGTACAAATGGTGATCTTAGTTCCTGAGTTAATGAGGATTGTTACTCAATTCAAAGAGGAGGACAATCACTGTTTTCAAAAGATAGATCTGCTTTGCCTAATCAAAGGTTACTGTCTACTAGACCCATTGACCAATTATGTAGAAGATGTTCAGATTCAACTTTCCTAAAAATTAGTGAGGAGGAACCAGTAGAAAAACTATGATAGTCAATTAGCTAACCTTATCATATCAAATATTTAGATAATAGTAAAGAACATTTACCTTAAACTTTAAATCCTTCCTCTATTCTTTTCTTCCCAAAACAACACATGATTGCACATCAACATAATTGTTTCCTTGACAGCTAGATAGACAAATTCTAAACATGTCATTTAAAAGAGAGATATAAATTATATAGATAATAACTTAAAGAGTAGAAATATTTCTACTGCCAGGTACCAGTGGCTCACGCCTATAATCCTAGCTACTCAGGAAGCTAAGATCTGAAAATCATAAGCTCAGGCAAGAAAGATCATGAGACTCTTATCACCAATTAATCAGCAAAACTTTGAAGTGGAAATACAGCTCAAGTGGTAGACCACTAGCATTGAGCCAAAAAGCTCAGGAATATTGTCTAAGGCTCTAATTTCAAACCCTAGTACTGGCACAATAATAGTTCTATCTACCAATAAATACTACCCTGCCAAAAGATATAAAGGTTTTCCATAGATCAACTGCTTTAATTTGGAAAATGTCTAGTTAGAGGCTAAGCTTCAAATCTTACACAGGTTAAGTAACTTTCACAAAGTGACACAGTTTGGTTTTGGAGTCAGACTCCTATCCTGGAACCCTTTCTTTAACTGCTTCTATTCCATATTTTATTAGCTAATCTAGCCTAACATCCTAGGAAAACATTTTTAAGAGAAGGTTTTAGATTTACAAACAGAGGAAGAAGAAGACAAATAACTTAAACCCCTTCTCTGTGCCTGACACAAGGTTAAGTATTTGGGATGTCATCTCATTTTTATCTTTATACACATATTTGGTAAGGCCTGGATGAGTGTATAAGTTCTGAGCTTTGTTGGGATCTGGCAACTGAAGATGAAAACAAGAAATGAGAATGATTAAAGATTTAGGAAGTCATATTTCCAGTTAAAAAGAACACTGGTTTGTTTGTTTAGAGGAGAGAAAGTTAAGGAAAATCTTGCCAGTATATTTTATAAATGTATGTGAACAGTTTTTCTTGTTTCTTTGGCCCAATGTCAACAGAAACAAAGCTAATTATCTGCTGGTAGAAATGGGTGGAAGTTATTGAGTGCCAATGGAGCAGGACTGGAGGGAGAGACAGGAATAAATATATACACAGGGCATGGTAGAAAGGTAGTTATATCATTTCTCATTTCATCTTGCTCCAGCATTTTCCTTAGAGAAATAAATATAAATATGAGTATATGCACACATTAATCTTCTGTCTACTTTGAGTGATGTGCAATTTTCTCCACTCTTAAGGATGAACCTAAAACTTGGAGAATTTAAGAAGTCTTCCCATTTTCACACAGCAATTAAATGAATTAAATTAATAAATTAAAATGAAAAGACCTTATGAGAGGCTGATTACAGAAGGCCAAATAAAGCAGAAAACATAGATGAACTGGAGTTGGCTATATTCCATCACCTGACAGAAAGTTACCAACTAACATTTTATCTGCAAAATACAAATGAAAATGCATGCAGATCACTGAAGGCAGGAAAGTCTATGAGACCCATCTTCAATTGACTTGCAAAAAAAACAAAAGTGAAGGTTTGGTTCAAGTGGTAGAGCACCTGCCTTAAGCAAAAATACTAAGGGACAGTGACCTGACCCTGATTTCAAGCCTCAATATTGGCACACACATGCACTCACACATGCACACACACACACACACAATTACTGGGAACACACAATTACTGGGAATAATGCCATGGGAATAATTAATCTATCAACAATTCTCACTTTTTAACTAGCACAGTTGTCACGTAAATTTTTTAGATTGTTTCAACCAATTTGGATTTTGTTCGTTTGGTTTTGTGGGAATTTTTTTGTGTTTTCTTGTTATGTTTTGGTTGCTATTTGTTTGTTTCGGTTTTGAAGTCAAGATCTTGTTAGGTCGCCTGGACTAGCTTTGAACTTAATGATACCTTTGCTCTGCCTTCTTAGTGCTGGGATTTCAGTCACACACCACCAAGCCTGCCTTCCCAACATGTTTTCATTTGAATACTTTCCTTATTCAAATTCATGTGTAACAGTAATTATTCTTGCAATTTGACATATCTCTAAAATCAAGCTTCGTGTTAATTTTGAGAGATTTTTAGCTAAAAGAACTACTTGCTATGATCTCATACTTTATTGAATTATCACTTATTACATTCTCTGAAAGTATATGAATGATAACCATCATGATCACAAAGGATCTACCCATTTGTTCTAAAACTTAAAGCTGACAACAATGACAATAACTTACAACTTCAGAAAAGAGGACAGATGTTAGGGAAAACAAGCTTAATAGTTCTCATACCTCTTCATATGTTATCATTTATCACATGGAAAGTAGAATTATTCTTGCGCATAGAATTATTGAAAAGTTCTGGAAATTTGCAATTTTTTCATAGACCCCCCCAAATTAGGTTCATCTTATCATGGATCAGGGAGGCAAAATGAATAGCAATAAAATACACTGATTGGAAATATAATCGAAGGGAGACATTAGTGAGCTGTCTCAGCCAAACTGAGATAATTAAACTCAGAGTTTCTGTTTCCCGCTTCACTGGTGTAAACAATGAGGCTTTCCCAGTGCTTCAGCCACAACCTAGATGTCCCAAAGCCACACCACTCTTCCTTCCCTCAACTTTCCCTAAGGAAAATTCTGGATCATAAAGGAATAAGCATTGGAATGAGTTCTTTTCCTGAATTCACTTGGGCTTCTTCTGCCTTTGCATTTGTGACATCTCATTATAAGACAAGCTAACATCTATTATTAATTGATGTACTAATTAAAGCCATGCTTGCAGTTTCCATTAGCTTATTCTCTAAATTCTCCAGAGTTGGCTGTCTGGTTTTAATCAAAACCAAATGGGAGTCCAAGTTCCCAGCCTGGAGCAGCTAGGAGGAAGTTACTCAGTGGAGGCACAAGAAAGCAGCAAAGATAAACAGAGGAGAGTTCACAAAATGTGTGTCCGACGAAGGATACAGATACTGTGAGCCGCTTTAAAGATGTGATTCAGGGACTCTGTCAGGCTAGACAGAGGCCCGTTGAATGTGTTTAATGTCAGCAGGACTCTAATATGATCAAGATGGAGTCTGTCTTCTGCTTCTGCAACCCTGGATTTGTGTAACTCTGGAGGATTCTGACTGAGGTAAAGCTGTATGTGCTGTAGTATAAGCTATTTTGATTCTGGTAAGAAATCTAGGAGGGGAGTACAAGGAACTTGAAGAAAACATCCTATTTACTGCATTCTAGGGAATTTACTCAGACTTTTCTCAGGCACAGAACAGAAGGCTCCAGAATTTTGAATTTTAAGTTATGTTAGGGGAAAAAAAACACCTCGTTTTAAAATTTAGAATGATTACAGTATTAAATTTCTCAGTTCATCTTGCTGTTTTGGAAGGAGGTTTGGAAATAAATGCTAGCAGAGATACTTTTATAGACATTTAATATAGTAGAAGGTGGCAGGAGAGCAATATTCTTTTCTTTCTCTCTTTTTTTTTTCATAAGCAAAGCTCTAGGACTTAATGAGTCTCTAGCTAATCACCTCAAGAGCTTTGACAAACTCACTTTGGTTCTGTGTAAAATCAGAGCTCCTTATTCCAGGCAGCTCTCTCTCCCCCCTCCCAGCCTCTTCTTGCAGTTTTTCTCACATGCAAACTTCTCAGAGGCAGGAAATACTTTCCAGGCAATCTAGGCCTGGTTGTGGAGGCCCCTTTCGCAAAACATCAGTCTGAATTTAGTAGACAGAAGTCACTAGGAACGCCTTCGACAGGATCCGGCTTGAGCCTAGGAGGCTTGTTCCAGCTGCGGAGAGTGTTTTTGTTAGGATCACACACTGTACAACTGCTTAGAATAGAGCCACGATCTCAACCACGAAATGTGAACTTACATTTTGGAGAAGCTAACTCACGGGATGGACTTCTTTCCTAGCCAAACTTTGGGACCGGGTTATGCCTTGGTGGTGCAGCTCTTCCTTGTCTAGGTAAGATTGTCTTTATGCTTTGAGGGATCTTTGAAGAAGCAGAGGGTGAGAAATGTCAGCATAGTTGAGCCCTGAAATCAGAAAGTGGGAAAGGCTTTAAGTAAGGGGAAAACTTGTGAGTCAAAATAGTTTTAGCCAAGTGTCATTCCTAAAATAGGCTCCATATAGGTTTTTGCTGTTTTCTTCCATAACGTAGGATAGCATGCCGTTCCTCTTTTTAAATCTTTCACTTACTTATTAATAGATCTGTAAGAACTGTTTGCCTATCCCACAGCATAATATGAATTGCATGCATCTTCTCACTTATGAGTTGTCTGGGAACTCTTCCTTCCTCTTCTTTTGAAAGCAGGAAGAATGTAGAGCCTTAGTGATATTTTCTTCATAATAATTCTCCGAAGATTATTTTATGTCCCATATGAATGGATGAAGATTGGATTCTTCAATATTATTTCAAGGCAGTATGAACCACAATGTCAAGTTGCTGCTCATCTTCAAAGTATCACTTTAAATTGTAGACACATGAAATCTCAGAAATCAGTTCCAACCTGGAGTATTTAATTTCACTTTCAGATATTTCAATCAGAGAATTGGATATGAGAATTGGATATAATTTAGATTAAATTTCCTAGATTTCCTGCATAGATTCTATTTGTATGTTTTGAATAATTGAAGTAAATTTCAATGAGAAGGGTACTTGTTGCTATTTTTAAGGCAGCCAAACCCAGGACAATCTTACAAAAACTGACCATACAACTATACTTTCTGTAATCATAAAATTATATTTCTACCAGCCTATGATCTCTGTAATATGTTTGGATGTATAATGTATGAGCAAAGAAATTTAATAATGTTTTAATAGTATGGATTTATACTATCAACTATGCTGTTATACTTCTGAATATTCAGGATGCAAGTCATTATCTTTTAGAAATAATAGGATTGGTAGGTACATAAAGGGAGCAAATATTCATACATATTTCAAAAAATAAACTTACATAATGAAGGCTTGAAGAGCTATTTTCACTGTTGGATCATCCGAAATCAAGCATAGGTTTTAAGCTGTTATATAGTACACGTTGATTATTTGGTGTGCTATCTAATTCATTCTTAATTTCTATATTAGAATAATTTGTACTGATGAAATTTAATTACTCAGTAATAACTTCATTAAGACTTTTAAGAATTAGGAAAGTCATATTTAAAGTGTTAAAAATGTGACTCTGGACACCAGGTGGAAAAAAACTCAGGAGCAGAGTGATTACCTATCATATATGAGGACTTAGAGTCATCTTAAGTACCAAAACAAATTCTGATATGTCTAAATTGAGATTCAATAAAATTCCTGTATGGAATGTCCTGGAAGGAAAAGATCTAAGTGATCACCATTTCTGACATTGCCTGGAGGTGACCAAGAGGGAGGCGGAGGAATGACACTTGAGAATGACCTGTTCAAAGTCACTCCATGAACTAGGAGAAAGGATGCCATTGGTACCACAGCACCTTGTGACATATCACTTTGTAGCACAGCGTCTTGAGCTCATCATAATTATTCATAATAAAGCATGATCATGTCCAGTGGTGGAATTTGGAGTTCCTTGAAAAAATAAAAGAATCAAATTCACTAATCAATGCAATTTCCTCAAATGCAAATAGTTTTTATTTATTTATTAGGTCTTCAGCAAACAATTTAAAGGAATAACTTATCTTATGGCTATTTTGTCACATTTCATATTTAGGAATAAGCATAGGTTTATTATTATGTGACCTTATCTCTGGTGTGTTATTTAAAATTAGGTCTTTAGAAGAACTTATCTGTTTTATATCTCTATATTGTGATGATTTTTAAAATAATTATCCCATTCAGTGAATTTCAGAAGATCTTTTAGGACTCCCATTGTCGTTTCTTTAAGAATCTGATGTATATGCAAGATACATCAAATACAGCGAAAACAAGGGTTGTACCATGGGGGAAGAACATACCAAAGAACCCCCCAAAAAATCACATAGTACATTTTAATACCTTAAAACAATAACAAGAAAGTGTCCTGCATCTTGTATATACATTTTTCTAATTTGAGGAGGGGAAGGGAAATAACAAAATGCTGAAATAAGGATACAGGTTGACCCATTGTAACAATGAGTACAAGACACTATGTTGAAAATGAACTTTACAACTTGGGGTGGGGGGAAGAGAAGGTGGGGAAGGTAGGGATGGTAGGGGAAAAACAAAGGAAGAGGTAACAATCATCCATAGGAAATGTACTCATTACCTTACTCATGTAAGTGCAATCCCTCTATACAGTATTTCTACAATAAAAAAAATTTAAGGACCCATTATGTATTATGGATCTATAATCTAAACTAAATATCACTGCCTGTTGCCAATTTTATCTGTATTTGTGTCAATAAGAAGTATGTAAATGGACATATGAAAACTTTCTAGACCAAAAAAACCCAGATCATTTTTTTTCATTTATAGCTATGTTAATTCTTCCAGTAGATATCTCTACCCCAAATCTTTTAACAAAATCTTTCAGTTGTAGAATACAGAACATTTTGCAGTGAAGCATAAAATAGGAGCATTGGCTGAAACATTTGTATTCTATCCCATCATATCTGTTGCTGTATATATTGAAACACTGTACTTTCTAAGCAATGGCCTAACTCCGAATGTTTGTATATTCCATGTTTGATAGAATAGAATTCTTTAGAATGTGTCATGATGCTTGGCTTTGTGTTGTGTTGTGCTGTATTTAGTTCTTTGCATTTTCATGAACATAATTGAATTTCCTGCTGTTGTTACCACTTCAAATATATGCAACACTCCATGTAGTTAATCACTACAGTCCTTTGATGAAATGCAGCAGAAGCAGAGTGAAGCAATAAGTCTATGCACTCGCTACCTCTTTTCAAACTTATCAGTATTGTATAACTTACTTCAAGTTTTAAAGATACTATTTAATCTTATTTACTGAGGATTAAATCCTATAATTTTAAAATAAACCTAAAATAGGTCTTCTAATTGGAAGATGAATGAATCAATATTAATTTGTAACAACTCATTAGAAATCCCAGTATCAAGGATTTCAGGCTCAGAACCTAGAAATGCCAATGACAGAACATGGGACTGTCCCTTAAAATCTCAGTGCAAGCAAGACACGTCTACAGACAAGTGGGACTTTGGTGGATTTTATGTGATATAGAATGTACCTTTGATTCTGTTTCAGCATTAAACTTGTGGTTAAATAAAAGTTTTGTGACTATATAGGTCTGGATTTAAAGAAGGTAAACAAAAAATAGCATTGTGGAGCTCTTATAATCTAATTTTAAATGGCATTGCTAATTTTGACCCTGTGGATTGTAAACAACATAAATGAATTCTATTTGGGATGCAAAAATATCTGTAAGGTAGCATACACAGTATTATGTATGAACTTGCGGTTTAAGTGGGATTGATGAATGGGAAAGAAAAAGACAGTTGTTTGAATGAGTGAATAGACTATGCTCATATTACATTGAAATATTTAAGGGTTTTAGTAATGCAATTCACATAAATCAAAGAGAAAAATCAGTGCTAATAATGGAAATGATATAGATATAAAGAGGAAGACCAAAGAACAATATAGGAAATTTAATTAGTGTTTCATTTTATTCCTGGCAATATCTAATTGTCAATAAGTGTTTGTGAAATTAATGTTAGGAAAAGAGAAAAGAAAGGGGAAAGAAAGCAGGGTTGAAGAATGATATTATGTGGGAGTTGGACTTTTTATTTTTATTTTATTTTGCAGACATCCTGTAATAATAGAATAATAAGCATTGAAGAGGAAGAAAAATAGAGGGTTGGCTAAAGTCATCAGAAGCTGGGGTCAGAGGTTTATAACACTCTTAGAAGATGACATTGCAGTTTACTAGGAACCAGAAACGTGAGCTTCCAGAAATGGTTTGAAATTAAAAGTTGCCTGAAGCCAGTGGGAACAAAACACGAGTGTTTTTTTTTAATCCATAGGCAGGGATACACTGAATAACATCATGGGCAGAGTTGGAATATTGGCTGTGATTTCAGTTGTACCACTGATGCTCCTTGGTTTGAATCATTGCTTTTTCTTTTATTTTGTTCTAATCACATGTATATTGAAATAAGATGGCAGGCAAAGGATAGTTCTAGCTCATACTCAGCCATTGATTCTTTAGCTACAATCAGTCAGAGTCAAAGATAAGTCAAAGGACTCCAAGGAGTCCCTTTTATGATATCATCATCATCACCATCCCCATTTCTGTACCTATGATGTCACTTAGTATGGAGTGAATGTTTGCAATGTGCCTTGGATGAAGTGATCTACATATAATAACTCTTTAGTATAATGTTAACTTGGTATTGTTATTTTCACAATAATTCTTCTGTTATTTTCATTACAAATATGAGAAAGCTGAGGCACCCATGGAGTTTAGGCAAACAACTCAAATACATAGATAATATTACAGATATTAACCATGGAAGACAATAGTAGATATCAAAGGCATTGAACATTGGTAGGACACTGAACTAAGTTCCTGATTTCAGTGAAAGAAGTTGTGCATATGGAATGACCAAAAGTTGAGTTCTCTGTTGTCATGTTGCTATTCAAGCACCTGTGTTGATGTCACCATATCTCCTATTTACACTTAGCGATTGCTGTATCCACTGTGAGAGTGTTCTTAGAAATGATAGCAAAGCTAAAAATAAAGTGACCACTTAACCAAAGCCACATCGCACTATGATGATGATAAAGTAGTATAATCCATGGCCCTTGTGGAACAGAAATACCTTTTGCATAATGAAGCAAACCACATTCCTGTATACTATATTGTTATCCAAAAGAAGGGATATCTGAATATGAAATTTAACTCAATCTTATTTCCTGTTGCATGAAAAATTCTCACAGAAAGAAATGTAGAAAAAGAACAATATGCTGCATTGGTTGTCCTAGGTAATGATTATTTGTTAATGGATATATTTGAAC